CCCCCCCCCCCCCCCCCCCACCCTCATTCCCCCTTTCCCATAGGGAATTCATGATATAGTGAACCACCTTAAATACCTCTACAGAGGCCTTAATAGGAACTTCTACTACTCAGGTGATTAGTCACAGGGCAATTAGGATCAGACTTAATGCGGTAAACTAATGAATATTGCCGCCTAACTAATGGATGGATGGATGATTGTGGATGGGTAGCGAAAAAACGTACCTCACTAATGAATACTTCGGTGACATCCTGTTGCACATCACTCGGCCGGTAACACAGAGTTAAACCAAACTTGTCTGACGAGGATTGTTTTTGTAGGATCACCTCCTGAAATAATTGAAAGTACAGGGTAGATGGGTGAAGACTATTTTCCTATTTCTCTCTCCCTCCCTCCTCTTTTTTCTAGTCAGTGACAATCAGATGGTTGAAAAAAAGCTGTCAGGTTGCCTTTTTCCGTGTGTATGCATGACCTTTCCGCGTACTAATTACTCACTCCGGTTGAATGCCTGCGGGGTACATTCTGAGGAGAATAGACAAGGCTTTTCAAATAGACCCAACTTTGTGACGTTAACCAATAACTAGACGATCTCAGCTATTTTTTTCACAACCTTAGTCACAGCGCGACCATGCATGAATAGCGAATATTTCATCAGGCAAACCGCCCTGTTCTCGAGGTTACTCATGTTGGTGCCCTATCCAATCGAATTTCATCAAATCATAGACATGACCTTCAAGCTGAAACAGACTGATCCTGGAAACTTCAATAAATAAGTAAATGGGATCGAATTACACACTTGAATAGTAGTAGTAGGCTTTAACTTACAAAACACTTCTCTGAACTAGTAGAAGCGTAATCTCCAACCGGTAGGTTTCCAAATCCCGAAGACGTGGAATTGGGGTTATCTGGGAAGTTGGCGTAGACTGAATCCATGACTGGACCGCAGGCAGTATTGGGATGGAGGAATGAACCGGGGTTGGAACCATTGTAAGGATATCGCTTAAGGAGGTAGTCAAGACAACCAACTTCATCAATTCCAAAGACAGCGTCATCAACATCGCCTCCATTTTCCTCCTCTTCAAGACAGACTTCATCTTCTTCAACACAGTCACGAGCTCCTGGTAGACCGTAGAGATAATCTACCGGCAGTTTTCCAGACCTATTATAGTGTGGAATGAGCATTAGTTAAGTGTTATAATTTATAATTCTCTAGGTGATGGAAGCAACTTTTGAATAGTTAAATGAAAGAACATTTCTACTTTATTTAAGTAGTTCCCAAAGTGCTTTCGTCGCATGCTACACCAAACTTGTACGACATGTATAATCCAAAGGCACGAAGTTGTTGCTTTACAAGTGTTCATGTTTCCGTCTGAAGCCTTCAAGAATGCCAAATCTTGACAAGATCAGATAATGCGTTGGGGGGTGGGGG